GAGGATGTACAATGGTACAGGTGGGAACTGGAAAAACCGGGAATCCAAGACAGATGAACCCCTCGGGACTAGTGGTGAGAGTGGCCATACCGGGAGGGTGGAGAAAAGGTGAGGGAGAAAGATTACAAGGATCTACATATAACCTCCTCCCTGGAGCACGGACAGCAGAGAAGTAGGTGAAGGGAGACGTCGGATGGTGTAAGACATGACAAAATAACAATAATTTATAAATTATCAAGGGTTCATGGGTAGGGGGGAGCGGAGAGGGAGGGGGGAAAATGAGGAGCTGATACCAAGGGTTTAAGTAGAAAGCAAATGTTTTAAGAACGACGAGGGAAACAAATGTATAAAAATTCTTGACACAATGGATATATGTGTGGATTGTGATAAGCCCCCCAAAAATGATTTATATGTGTGGATTGTGACAAGACCCGCAAAATGATTTAATTACACAAAAAAAAGTTTTAAGTGAAATATAATAAAAGGCTAAAAAAAAAAATAGTAAGATCAGCCTCAAGGCCTCTCACCTGACATGGTGGTGTGGGTCTTGGCACCACCAAGCTCTTCCTGGGTAACATTCTCATTTGTGACAGACTTCACAACATCAGGGCCAGTGATGAACAGGTATGAAGTGTCCTGAAATCAGAGATGTCCACAATGGTCACACTCAGATCACTAGAGGTAGAGGGGGGTTAGAATGCATACAGTCAAAAGACTTATTGAGAGAAAGTAGTGACAAAAGCAGGCTAGGATGCAGCTCCAAGATGCTTATTCAAACTAAAGACCACCTTTCACAGAATATTAAAAGAATCTTGGTTGCATGGTTCTATCTCAGCAAACTTGCAGCCAGGCTCATCTATAGAGCACAGTAATAAGTGGCCCTTATTCAGGGCTTAACTGCACACCAAGCACTTGTCGTAAGCACCTTACGTGGATGCTGTCATTAATGGCTAGATATAGTTATCGCCCCCACTCACAGATGAGAGCACTGAGAGCCAAGAGAGCATGCAATGTGAGCAAGTTTAACCATCTAATAAAAGGTGAAGCTACTTAAAAACACTAATAATTAGTGCTTTGAAGTTATGAGGTTTCTAATTTTTAGTTTCTAATTTTAAATAAATTAAAACTCCACTGCTATCAAGTGGGGCAGGCACTCAACAAACCAAAATCACACCTGCGGGCAGTGAGTCCATTCTGGCTCACATTAACCCGCAGGACATAGTGCATACTCTTTACAGAAGCAGACTGCTACATTACTCACCACTGGAGAAGCTGGAGCGTGAAACGGCTGGCCTCTAGGTTAGCCATCATGTCCTTTAACCACCACACCATCGGGTGAGGGTGGACAGTTGGAGTAACCCTACTTATTAGCTCTATCTCCAGGCTTCCAAATCCGCTCTTCTCTCCCCTTTCAGAGACATCCATGCACATAAGAGTATTTATGTACATTGTTGTCCTCTTCTTTCTAATGAAAATGTTTTTTCCTAACAGTCTCCTGGACACACAGTGCTGAAAACTTCCTCTTCAATGTAAAATAATTAACCTAACAGGACAGTTTGAAGAGCATTCTTTATCAATATGTATGATAGTTACCATAATGTATTTATCCCTTATTGATGGTCATTTAGATTGTTTCCACTATATCGCTACAGCAAGCAATTCTTCAGTAAATATCCTACCACAGTCAGCCCTGAACACATATGCTAACCTATATATTAAAAAAATATGTTTAAGTGAAATTAGTGCATCTGAGGGTGTGAACGCTTCCAAATTAATATCATTGAATAACACAGGTTTGGACTTCACACGTCTAAATATGTATCTGTAATTTTTTCCCCAATAAATATCTTGGTGAAAACTTGGAGATCTACCACAACTTGAAAAAACTCAAAGATAAATTCAAGTAACCTAGAAATTTCAAAATACTTTAAGTATCAGGGACTGCCAAAAGAACAAAAAAATCAACCAGAATGCTCCTCAGAGGGAAGGATAGCAAGACCTGTCTCATCTACTTTTGACACGCTATCACACAAGACATTAGTCCCTGGAAAAGAACATCATGCTTGGTAAAGTAGAAGGGCAGCAAAAAAAACCAACAATGATCTTCGACAAAATGGATTGATACAGTGGGTGCAACTCTGGGCTCAGATATAACAATTACGAGGCTCGCACAGTATTGTATTCTGTTGTACAGAGGGTTGCTATGAGCCAGAACCAACTTCATGGCGCCTAGCAACAACAATCTGCTTGAATGCACGTACCTCAAGCATGGACCCTGTGTTAGGCTGGGTTGGCTCAAGAAACAAATGCAGGGACACTCATATATGTGTAAGGAAGAGCCTTATATCAAGAAGTCATTATATATGAAGAAAACATCCCATCCCTGTCCAACTCAAGTCGATATATTGGATACTAGTCTATAAATCCCTCTTCAGACTCACGAAATCACGTGCAATGATACAGAATGCAAGAGCGTCACCAGGCAGTCGGTGCAAAGTTCCATAGACCCAATGTCGGTGGCGCTGGCAGCAAGTGACTCAAAAGCAGGAAGGTGACGGCAGAGAGAGAGGAGTCAGACTCCAGAAAGCCATTTATCTCGGTTGCACCTCCAAAGGTCAACAAGCTTTGACCTTATTGAAAGGCTAAACTCCACCCATATCTTCTTACAGGTGCCATGCTGGCACACACAAAAAACCACACCAAACCCAGGAATACATGTGGTAGCCAACTAAAAATGAGGGTGGGAAAAGAAAAAAAACAAACAAAAAAACATGGGTACCGGAGGAACAGGGCACTAACCCACCTAAGGGGAGGGTATTGTTTATATCTCCACAGAGAAAGAGGGACCAGACTTCAACCTGGTGCTCCAAGACGTGAATGCAACATACCGACATGAAGCAGGGAACTGATAAAAAAGTCTGAGGGGCCGGTCTCAATCCCAACTACGTGGACAGGCGCTGCAGAAGAATTTACTTCAGAACAGCACTCACTGAAGCTACAGCTCAGGGAGAGGGGCATGTCTGATCAGAGCACACAGAAGCAAGTGAATGGGGAGGAAGAGAGAATGGAACACATCCTGGCCCACCAAGCCTTGAGGATGATATTCCTGCTCAGAACACCCAAAGCAAAGAGAGGACCATATGGCCAGCCCCACTAGGAGACACGACATCCCTCATTGACCCATAGCCCTACGGGGGACAACACTGGAGAAACAGTGTGGGAATTGTGCCTGATCTGACTCCACCACACGGAGGCAAAACACTAAGGGCGTGCAACAGAACAGAAAAGGGAGCAGAGCAAGGAAGTCCCAAGGGAGTACCAAAAATAGACTTTGGGGCAGGGCATGGTAACCCATCAGATTCGACCAGAAAACACTCCTGAAGGTCAACAAACAGACCTTGAACTATTGACAGGCTTTTCTTTTTACTGTCATTGGTTTTTTTGTTGCTGTTTTATTTTCTTTTGTTGCTTTGTTTTGCTCTGTCTTGTTATTTTTGTGCATATTAATATCTCTGCAGATCTATCTAGATAAGATAGGTGGGATAAACAATCTGGAGGAAAAACAACAGGACTAGTGGTTCTGGGGGAACATGGGAGAGGGGAAAGTGGGGTGGGGGGAAGGAAATGGTGTTAACAAACTCAGGGACAAGAGAACAAGAAGTGATCCAAAATCAAAGGCAAGGAGGGTGTATGAGACCTGGTAGAGCTTGATCAAGGCTTGATGTAACCAAGAGGAATCACTGAAACCCTAATGAAGGCTGAGCATGATAGTGGGACAAGAGGAAAGTAAAAGGAAAGAAAGGAAGGAACTAGGAGGCAAAGGGCATTTATAGAGGTCTAAATACAGCCATATACATATGTAAATATATTTATATATGATGATGGGGAAATAGATCTATATGCATATATTTACTGGTTTAGTATTAAGGTAGCAGATGGACAGTGGGTCTCCACTCAAGTACTCCCTCAATGCAACAACACTCTGTTCTATTAAATTGGCATTCCTTGATGCTCACCTTCCCAACACGATCACTGAAGACAAATGGGTGCATAAGCAAATGTGGTGAAGAAAGCTGATGGTGCCGGCTATCAAAAGATATAGAGTCTGGGTTCTTAAAGGCTTGACGGTAAACAAGCGGCCATCCAGCTCAGAAACAACAAAGCCCACATGGAAGAAGCACACCAGCCTGTGTGATCAAGAGGTGTCGATGGGCTCAGGTATTAGGCATCAAAGAACAAAAAAATCATATCATTGTGAATTAGTGGGAGTGCGGAGTGGGGACCCAAAGCCCATCTGTAGTCAACTGGACATCCCCTTACAGAAGGGCTGTGGGGAGAGGAGCCAGTCAGGGTGCATATAGCAACGATGAATCATACAACTTTCCTTAAGTTCTTTAATGCTTCCTACCCGCCAATATCATGATCCCAATTCTACCTCACAAGTCCTGCTAGACCAGAGGATGTACACTGGTACAGATAGGAACAGGAAACACAGGGAATCCAGGACAGATAAACCCCTCAGGACCAATAATGAGAGTAGTGATACCAAGAGGGGAAGAAGGTGGGTGATAAAGGGGGAATCAATCACAACAATCTCCATATAGCCTCCTTCCTCGGGGATGGACAACAGAAAAGTGGGTGAAGGGAGACATCGGACAGTGTAAGGCATGACAAAATAATAATAATTTATAAATTATCAAGGATTCATGGGGGGGGGACGTGGAAGGAGGGGGGAAAATGAGGAGCTGATACCTAGGGCTAAAGTAGATAGAAAATACTTTGAGAATGATGATGGCAACAAATGTACAAATGTGCTTGATACAATGGATGGATGGATGGATTGTGGTAAGAGTTGTACAAGCCCCCAATAAAGTGATTGAAAAAAAGGAAAAATATATATCTATCACAGTCCCTTTGCAGCTTTCATAATCAAGTCTGCAACAGTGATGAACTGATTGGCCACCAATCAAAATTCTGTGATAATTTCCTTTGTGTAATTTATGTAATTGCCTATATTCTTTGAATGATGTCCTTGAATTCCTTACACACCTTTGTGGTCTCATGCTGATGGTCACCCTCATGCAGATAATTTGTCTTTGTACTGATGAAAACTTAATAAAGTAATCACTGTAAAATATATCCAACTATGAGGTCTTTTCCCTACTAGAACAATACTTTTTAAAAAGTGTTACAAGAAGACAAACTAGATCAAAGAGCTGATCTTTCTATCAGTATTTTAAATAAGATCAAAGCTATTAAAGATGTTATAGAAGAAAGTGAAATCAACATGATTCAGTGATTCATGTCCAATCAAAAACAGTGGCTTCCAATCGAATCTGCTGGGCCCATTTAACTTGAAGGCAGAAATATCAACCTATGGGGACTTTTTTCCCCAAAGTGGTCATTTTGAAAAGCTTTTTAAAGGACATAGGACAATCACAGAAGTTTCTTATAAAGACATTTTAAGAAAATGGGAAACTATACTGATGAGAAAGCGGCCAGGAACATTGCGCCAAGTGTAACAAGGGCTGTCCTATGGAAATTTCATTGGGAAATCTTACCCAACTCACCCTACAGCTTGATCTTGTCCCTTCTGACTTTTTATTCCTCAAAATCAAGTAATAATTAAAAGGAAC